AAGACAATACTACGCTAGGTTGCAATTATGGGGAACAATTAAACACATAATTCTAATGTGTTTGTAAATTTGGGGGTAAGTAATTTTCCTTGGTTACTTTAGGGTACTGAACAGGTTGATTTTGTTGGCATATTGCTGAATAGAGATTATATGATTAGTCTTGGCTAGTATATCGCTGGCTATTTGTTTGGAATTTGGGGGTAAGTAATTTTCCTTGGTTACTTTAGGGTACTGAACAGGTTGATTTTGTTTGGGTTCTTTAAAGGCACCCGCTGTTGAAGCACTCTGTAGTATCTCAATTTTAAGGCAATCTGGAGGAACTTTGATGGTTATTCAGAGATATATTCCAAAAGCATATAAGCTAATGCTAATTGGCTGTAGATGATTCTCTTAGATACTACAGAGTGCTAAGGTGCTTTGGTTTTCAAACTAAGCACCAATAGGAAAATTAGTTTGAAAACCAAAGCCTCAGTTGACTTTTGTGAATCTTAGATATAAGTGTTACAGTGAAACTAAATGTTGCTTGTAAGGTGGCATCTTATCTGTGAAGATGCAACATAGGTCTAGATGTCTTGTGTAGGCCAATTTTTTGGCGTGTTTACATGTAAAGTCACATTGGTTTTAGGAAAAACAAGGAGCTAGGGTTCTGCAAAAATATGTGAACAATAACGTCCAGGCCCATGCTTCTTTCCCATGGAGAATAAAGTGGTGGTTCTACCTTATTGCCCTGCTGTGGGTCTATTTTAGAGGACTGGTTTACTGTATAATTTCCTCAATGCTCTACTGTGGCAGATTGGCTTTACTGAAAAAATTGAGTGCATGCTAGGAGCATGAGTTCTTGGTTTCTTGCTAAAAGGGCTTTAGAGCACTCTCACTCATGGGCATATTTTTGCCCATGAGGAGAATTAAGGGGAAAAAAATGAGAATTATAGCTCCGCACACATGGGCCATAAAAAATATGACCATGAGGAATTTGCAGCCCTCCATGTTTAATTAAAAAAAATTAACAAAACTTGAAAATGTAAAAAAGAGTCGTTGCATGGCTCACCTGACAGGGACCGTCAGAGCGACCACTTATTTGCAGCCACGTGTCCCTGTCAGTCCCCAAGGTTGACATCTCTTATTTTTTACCGTTAATTTTGCATGCCAATTTGGACTGATTCACCTAAATTTTTTTAAAAAAAAAACAAAACAAGAACGACTACATTTATTTTTACTTGATAAATAGATCTCAATTTTCAGTCATTTTTATCCAGTGAGAAGTTATTTTAGCCCATGAGTGTGTGAGAAGTTATAAAAATAAAATGCCCATGAGGAAAAGTGGGAAAGAGGAGTGAGAAAGTGGGTAGAGAGATAATGGCATTTTTTTTCACCCATGAATGAGAGTGGTCTTATGTTTGAAGCATGTTCTTCTGTGTTAATCAAAATGGGTTTTCAGTGATGCTTGAACATTTGATAAATTATTTGCAGTGATAGTTGAACACCTGATGCTAAATTCATGCTTGGATGCCCTCACCTATATCCATTTTCTCTGTGATGACCTACTATTAGCATCAGAGTATAATTTTCAACTTTGTGACTAAGCTGCTTTGGTTTTCAAACTAATTTTCCTATTGGTTTTGCATTACAGAAACATATTAATTGCTGATGCCAGATCAACATTTATTTCACAAATTCCTGGATCTTTGAAAGGAAGCCTAATTGAACACATTAGATCATTTAGCAGCCAGAAGTAGTTCATAGTTTATTACTCTCGAATCACATGGCAGAGGAAGAAGGTATCCGACACTTTCAGAATTTCATCAGCAGAATCCCATTTATCTAGGAATGGGTTGTAAACTTATTTGTAATATTTGGGGATGCGTACTATGCGGCCTACCCCCTATACATGTTATACGGTTTCCAGTGGATGCATATCGATTATCGAGTAGACAACTATTTTCTACCTATTCTTCTGCTGAAAGTGATTGCTACTAGTCAAATGGTAATGTTCAGGCTGAGATGTTGGGCTTTGATGTACAAATCAGGAGGTAGGTTTTGCAGTTGATTTGATGGAGAAACTCGGAAATTTGATGTATTTCGGCTACATGTATAATATCCTTTTTGTTCTTTACTTATCCCATTTTATGGATGTGCAACAATTTTTATCCGTAAAATGTGGCCGAAGAGAGATGAAATTATACCCCAGCTTTGAGGTTCTGTATTTGCATTCATTTTTGTTTCATGTCTACAATGCTTCTACTCAAGTACCTGAGGCCTATTTTTATCATAACCTCCAGTAATTAAGGATATTATAGGAAAATCGTTAAATAATACACTTGAAAATGAATATACAAGTGTAGACACCCATTTGTGTCTCCCCAAAACCAAACCCAGTGATGAGTGCCTTTCACGTCGAATCATAATCGAATGAAACAAAAGTGTGGAAAGGTCTAGTGTTGCGGAAAGTTTTATTTCTTTTCTCTTCTTCCTGTTTTTTGAAAACTTTATTTTAAAGAAAACAGCCAATCCAGTTTGGTTGGTCCATGATATGGGTCCAATAGTGGTGTAGTTGGATGGGGTTTGCAAAGACCTTTCCAACGATATATTATAAGCCCAATTTCGATGAGTATTGAGGAATTTATGGCCAATTTACTAAACTGGGCCCGGTTTGAGCTTTGAGTACGGCCCAATGATCTAGGGGAGGGCCTAATATGATTTATCATTCCTAATGTAATTAGGAATGGTTTTGGTCTTCTAGAACATTCTAGAAGGTCTTATCATTCTTAATTCAATTAGGACTCTTCAGAGTTTTAATTAGATCAAATAGCATTTTCGACTGAAATTATATTATTTTATCTTCCAATACAGTAAAATTATCAGATTTTCGAAAACACGTTAAAAGCCGGCTTGGCGTCCAACCCCAGGCCTTGGCGCCTGGAATCAGGATTGGCGCCAGATGCTAGCCATTGGCGCCTGGCGCTAGCCACTAGTCCTAGCGCCAATGAGCCAGGGCTGGCGCCAAGTTAGTTTTTCGATCTTCAGACTCTGTTTTGATAAATTATCTTTTTTGGATGATTTTCTCTATAAATATCGTATCAAAAATTCCGTTTTCATTCACCAATTCTCTTTATTCTTAAGTTTTAAAAAACTTCGTTTTCATCATCATCAATCATCAACAATCACTTTTTTCAATTACCCATGATCAATATTCATTGACCATTAATCAACTCTTTTTATTAATAAATCGTTCATCAATTCTTTTCATCATCTTCATCTCTTTTCAATAATTCTTAACATTCATTCTCTTCTTTCTCTTCTTTCTTGCTTTAATACAAAATTCCGCATTCACAAGATCTAGATACACCTAGCCATATTCGAAGTTGTCTTCGCCCTAGACGTGAAAGGTTTTAATTTCTGAGGGTTTGGTCCCAAATCTCTCTTTCAATTATTTAATTTAATTGTTTTGATTATTTATTTTCCTTGAAGTTACTAACGCGTGTATTTTGTAATTAGAAAGAGATACGAGGCATCTAAGTAAGTGCTTTGATGGTTTAATTGATTTCATGATGTAGAAATCTTGCTTAAATTGTTATTTTGATGATTCCTAGTATCATGTCTAGGGTATCTTTAATATTAAGTATGCTTAAAAGTATGATACTTCCTATGCTCTTCCCAATATTTATTATTATGATTGATTATTATTATTATTTATTATGTTGCTTGATATGCATATTATTTTATATCGTTATTGCTTGATCACCTTTTATTGCAGGTTAAAGGGAATTGGTATTTGTAATCACGCTTAATAAGATAATTTAATAATCTTGTTAGGGTTAATTGTGATTATAATTCAAGTGATCGTCAATAATAGTTTATTTGTGCATTAATATTCAACCAACATAGTTTAAACAGGTTTAGGGTTAACCTATTGATTGCATGTTAATCAGAAAGCGCACATGAATACGAGCAGAATAAAGTAGAGGCCTATTATTAGGGCAGGTTCAATCTCTTTTAGGTTGGATTTGTACCATCATCCCCGAACCCTTATTTGGTTCATGACCTTATGGAGTTGACGATCTCTTTGATCGTTAAGGGGTGTAACCTTCACCTCGTGAACGGTTTACAAGTTCCTTAAAAACTTGTTGGCGACTCTTTTGCTCTATTTTCTTCCCTTTTGGACGCCACCGTACTTTAGTGTATGATCACAGTGGGGTTCAAGCTAGTGGGATTTTTAAAGGCTTGAAATTATTCCCTACAACAAGCATGAGCAATGGTGGGTAACTCACCACCATTACAACTCATCTCATTTATTTCTCTCTTCCAAACCATCTTCCACCTCTCTTTCCACTATATTAAAGTTATTATTATGAGTCATCTTATTTTTTTTTATCTATAATGATAAGGTTACTCACCACTATCTCTCCTAATTCAAGAATTCAAATATTACTTTGTAGGGGACACTTGTCATGTTTTTAGTGGGTAGAAGCAAAAACAAAATTAAAAGTAACTTGCGGGCCACTTACTCATCAATTACTCATTAATGGGGTGTTCTCCTTACTATGGGTAACTTGTGAGTCACTTTTCACAATGGTGAGTTAAGTCATAAAGAGGAGAGAGAGTGTTGTGAGTAGGGTACTAACTCACCAATGCAAATGCTCTAAATAATTTAATAGTCTTGTTGCCGTAGATGAGTACGTTCAAGCAATCACATCGGCTCAGTACTAGAGCCTCCTTTGGGCTCTCAGTACTGCGGCTACAAGGTCATTCTCCTGTATTCCAATCGTTTAAAAATAACTGCAACATTTGAATATATAAGATTCACAAGGATGAGAAACATTTACAATGTTGTACAAGTATGTTGGTAGGAAAATTAACAAAAAACTATGCAAATGATATTAGTGAGAGATAAATAATAAATAATTATCTTATAAGTTATTTAATTATATATCTCCTCTTTTACAAAGCTTCTGGATAAACTAATACAACATCCTAGAAGTAGCCAGGTTGAAGAAAGTAAGAGATGAGAATAAAGGAAAGTTCTAGTGCTTTAACAACTCAAGTACCAAACTCTAGGATCTTCTTTGTTCTTCATTCATCCCTTTAAAATAGCAAGAACATATTATAACACAAACCACTACACTAAGTAAGAAAAAATCAAGAAAAATGGGAGAAGAAGTGATATTGTTGGACTACTGGTCAAGTCCATTTGGGATGAGAGTTAGGATTGCATTAGCTGAAAAAGATGTAGAGTATGAAGAAAGAGAAGAAAATCTTAACAACAAAAGTCCACTTCTTTTGAAGATGAATCCTGTTCACAAGCAAATCCCTGTTTTGATTCACAAAGGGAAGCCTGTGTGTGAATCTATGATCATTGTTCAATATATTGATGAAGTTTGGGCACATAAGGCTCCCCTATTGCCCTCTAATCCTTATCAGAGGGTGAATGCTCGGTTTTGGGCTGACTACATTGACAAGAAAGTAAGTTTTTTCGTCTGTAGTTTGTTACATTGTCTTCACCCTTCATAATTAATGGTATTAATCACTCTTAACGGAGTTGTTCCACGTTAGGAAATCTAATCATGTACAGATACCAGTAATATCTGATAATTGTGTTTTTTTTTTCCGAACATTGCAAGTATATGTGACCTTTGAATCCGAAGAAAGGACTACAATAGTAATAACACAACAAAGTTATGTAGTACAATGTTAAGTATATGTGACTGACTGAATTTCGGAATCGTTACAGATATACAACATAGGGAAGTTAGTGTGGGCTTCTGAAGGTGAAGTGCAAGAGGCAGCAAAGAGGGAACTAGTGGTGTGCTTCAAATTGTTGGAGGCCGAGCTTGGTAACAACCGTTTCTTTGGAGGCGAAAATCTAAACATTGTTGATATAGCTCTTATACCATTTTACAGTTGGTTTTATGCCCTCGAAACGTGCGGCAACTTCAGCCTTGTGGAAGAATGTCCACACTTGGTGGCGTGGGCTAAGAGGTGCATGGAAAGAGAGAGCGTTTCCAAGTCTCTTCCCGATCAATACAAAGTTTATACTCACCTTTTGGAGCTAAGGAAGCAGCATCTTGCTGAACTCAAAGGCTAATGAAACTTACTGTACCATGTAATTTAGGGTGCCTTTTGTTTTATTTTGTTTGTTTTTTTTTTTCTCTTCTAATGTTTTTGTTAATGTTTACAGTTTACCAATTATCATCTAAACTTTCTAGGTTTGAAAATTATGATATTCTACCAATGTTTATGTAGACACCTAAATCGCGAAACATGTACCTCTTATTAAGAGTAATGAGTATGCAAGCCTTGTAAATGTGTTTCTTCAATATTAGTATAGTTTACCTTGTTTTATTCAATAATTTTACTCTTCTATGTTTACTCATAATTGGCTCGAATACTCTATTATATACAAGCAAAAAGCTAAAAACAACGGGGGAGCCCCAGTTTCTCAAAATGGCAAGAATTGTAAATAATAGCAACTTTAATAATATTTTATTATTTTTTGGTTGCTGATTCACTCATGTCCCTCATTCCCTTCTCTCTCCTGCTTCCTTCTTTTGAACTTATCAACGTAACAATGGTGGAATTGTTACCCAGATTAGACAGCAACCCACCACCACAGCATAGACCAACCCCAACCCACCATCTCGACAGCCATTTCCGGCAGTTTCTTCCGGCGGCTTCGCCGCCGAGTTCTACGAAAACCCTAAGAAAAGTGGAGAAAGAAAGGACATTGTTAACCCTAGAGGGTAAGTGTTTTTTAACCTCAAAAGCTGCTTCAATGGTGGAGAGAAAGGTGCTTCAATGGAGGAGAGAAGTTGCTTCAATGGTACATCTAAAATGTCAGTAATTGTGGAAAAGGAGAAAAAAAATTTAGAGAATTACATTTTTATCCCTGATTTACTAGCTAAAAAGACAAGTTTATTCCTATGAAAAACACTCCTTGTTTCTCAAGAAGAGAAACTTGGAATTACCCAAAAACAAAAAAATGTTTATTCATACTATTGTAATACATGGTCTTGTTGATTACTACATTCATTTTTTTGTTGGTACATTAATCAAAGCTGCGCCTCATAAGTAAGAATGTAAAATTCTTACAACTTTCCGCACTTTCAGTTATTCAATTCCCAAATATTGTTTCCTTGCCCCCAAAATCATTTCAGAAACTTTGTGCATTTCAGGAAGAGAGTTCTTCACAGCATCTCTTTGTTCACAACGTTTCGCCCACGCAATAATCTTAGGACACTCTGCTTCAATACTAAAATTACCACAACTTTCATATGTATGAAACCAAGAGTAAAATGGAATGAGAGCGATGTCCACGAACCCAAAGTGATCACCTCCGAAGTAGCATTTATCTCCGAGTTCTTCCTCTAACAACTTCAGACTTTCAATGAACTCTGATTTAGCTGCCTCTCTTTCAGCGCTTTCCTTTGTTCTCCACAATGTTCTACTTGCTGGATAAAACTGCGTAAAAAAGCAAACATGGTGAATTAATTACAGGTTTGTTATTCGAGGGACAACCAGGCAATAAGTCTACCCCCAATTTATAAGATGCAATGACTATAATTATGTTACTTGTACTCTTCATTTTACCTCAAAAACCTGTGTTGGACTCTCGACGCTCGGACATAGGTATGGTACTTAAACACTTCATTTTAGTTCAAAATTATAGAATTTTTTCACAAATAGCCGAGTCGGACACTTGGACACATACCCGTGTCGGACATGGGTACCTGAGTCCAAGTAACATAAGACTACACTATTCCTTCATTCACAAATTTATATCAATCAAACTTATTAAATTAATTCATAAATAGCCGAGTCGAACACTTGGACGCATACCCGTGTCGGACATGGGTACCTGAGTCCAAGTAACATAGGACTACACTATTCCTTCATTTACAAATTTATATCAATCAAACTTATTAAATTAATTTTATTTTTCTCGGTTATTCACTTAAATTAAACAATGGATGGAGTATCTAATCAAAAAACCCAATTAGAAATATCCATTTCAAAGTATAACCACTAATTGATCTGAATTAGCAAACTATCTCATTATCATTGTTTTTTGGGGCTAACAGAGGTTCTAGAATTAGTATTGAAACAATAAGGCATCTCATTAGTAGCAAAACAATTTTTTGTACCCTAATTCAATTATTGCACCATTTTGAAATTCATGTTTGTCCATACATAATTTTACATATTTGACATTTGTTTTCTACTGTTCCTTAATATTGAGAATTTGAGATAGTATTGTTCACTCACTCTCTTTTAACCAATACATCTATACAAATCTAACAACATCATACAATCAAAACTTAGGGTATGTTCTTGTTGATTGAACTGAACTTATTAGAGTTCAATTGAACTGAATTGAAATGAATATTTTATAAGAGAAGAAAATTAGAGGAAAAGAATCGTATGAGAACATACCCTTAATAAGATGATTTAGAAATAGAGGGAATAATCAACAATTTAATATTACAAATTATTATTATAAATACTCCATAATTATCTTATTTTAAAAATAAACATGTATTATTTCATAGAGCTCAATTTCTGAAGATCTACATAAGCATCTTTCAAAACTTATTAGTAGCAAACATAGGTCAAATTGTATATATAATGATTAATTTTTTTTTTTTTTTGAAGACTCAAACATTATCATTAAGCTAAAACAACACAAACTAATTAAAAAAGAAAAAACATAATTATATAAACTTCACAAAATCAAACCACAGTCAATACTGAAAAAAGACTAAAATTAACATAATTGATAAGAGATATACCTTTTTGTCAACAAATGTCAGCCCAAAATTTAGACTGAGATTTCTGGTAAGGATCAGAGGGCAATAAAGGAATTTCACCTTTCCAAACTTCATCAATGTACTCAACAATTATCAATGACTCACAAATGGGTTTTCCATGGTGGATTAGAACAGGGATTAATTTGTGAACAGGGTTCATTTCTAGCAACAATGAGCTTTTTTTGTCACCCATAAGATCTTCCACTCTGCAATCATAATCAGTGATGTTTTTCTCAGCTAATGCTATTTTGGGTCTCATACTAAACATGCTTGCCCAGATATCAATTAATATTAGCTGCTCATTTGCCATGGTTGAAGTTTTTTGAGTGTGTTTGTGAGAAAAGTATGACTTACTGATATGTGGGTTACATACATACATACATATATATATATATATATATATATATATATATATATATATATATATATATATATATATATATATATATATATATATATATATATATACTAGTATACAATATACATATATGTCGCACAATTAATTTTTCTACAAGTAAGTACCAAGTACTCCCTCCGTCCCTAAATTACATTCCTCTTTCTAGCATTTATTCCTCACATAATAGAGAGAAAGAGGAATGTAATTTAGGGACGGAGGGAGTACTAAATACGGGAATTTAAATTTTATCATCATGACGAGAAAAAAAAAAACACTACTTAAATGTGGGCTTCAAAACGGTTGATTTATTTACGAAAATGTCATACTAACTAAACATTTTTATTGATTTGGTTACAAAAATCTCATTAGATATTGTTTCAAAAAAAAAAAAAAAAAAAAAAGAAATCTCATTAGATAAACCCTTTTTATTTTATCTTAATAATAAACTAGAGCCTTTCATTAATTTTTTTTCCTTTGAAAAAGTAAGATAAATAAACATTAAACATTAGGAATCCTTCTAACTAAAGAAATTCGTAATGTATCAAAAAGAAAATACAGTGTGGTTCAAGATATTTTCGATTGGGTTTTAAATCAGCTTGGGTCACTTCGGATTGGGTAAATTCGAATCGAGTCATCACTTCGGGTATCTATCGGGTCAAAAGTCCGATTTTGATTAGTGTTTGTGTTGTTGTTTAAGGTCCATATCAGGTCTCTATTTTACCAGATCCAAAGTGGAGTTGACTTGCTTTTGACCCAATACTCAAAGCGACTCTACCTATTGTACCCGGCCCGAAATTACCTGATACCAAAAGTCGTCCGACCTGATTTACATTCGAATTAGACTCGAATAGAAAATAGCCTTAACCAAACTGACCTGATTATTTTCATATATTTTTTAAAAAAAATTTGTAAAGTGCAATGAATCGGATCCAAGCTTGACCTATAGTCTCGATCCAATTTTGAACTTGCCTAAAAATTTTAAGATGCACCATGGTGCACCTAGAAATAAGTGCACCACGCCTATACTTTTGAACATTTAGTAAAAAATCTGAACAATTGCAAATTTTGAACATGCAGTAAAACCATCTGAACATCACAAATTTTGAACATTTTGTTAAAAAATCTAAACAATCGCAATGCATTACGCCTATACTTTTGAACATTTAGTAAAACAATCTGAACAATCGCAAATTTTGAACATTTAGTAAATAATTATGAACATCGCAAATTTTAAACATTTAGTAAAAAGATCTAAACAATCGCAATGCACCACGCCTATAGCCCTATACTTTTGAACATATAGTAAAAATAATATGAACAATAATAAATTTTGAGCAATAATAAATCTTAACAATCTCAAATTTTATATTATTACATGTCACACAAATTTTTGAAAAAAGTTTGTCTGACTCGTAATAATTCAATAGGTTTGTAATATAAACTGAACATTTATTGTATACAAAATGAACATTTATTTATAAAATATGAACATAAAAATTGCATGTTTATGTTTAGTTTTGTGACATGTTCATATTTTTGTTACTAAATGTTCATTTTATTGTAAATGTTCAATTTTATGTGCACCACGGTGCACATAATATTAATTGCCAATACACCTAAAACCCGAAATGACCCGATCCAAATAATTTGAGTTCTTGATGTAGTTACTCGTACCTACCAAAAATAAAAATATTCTTATATTCCCACCGTTTTAGACTACTCAGTATAAAATTTTGTCCATAGATTACATGCCTAAATGTTACGAAAGCGATGACATCACGGATCAATAACTTAACCACTATCAGTCTATCACCCTAAATCCCATCTTTTCACCTATATAAAATAAACTAACTAAACCAAGTTCAATAACATAAATCACTCCAAAATAGACCCCACTAAATAAAATCCATAAACATCTCAAACAATAATCTGTTGTTACTAGAATTCTGGTCTAGCCCTTATTCTGCAAGAGTCAAGATTGCGCTACAAGAAAAGGGTGTTGTAGACTATGAATGTCAACATGAAGATTTATTCAATGCTAAAAGCTCACTTCTTTTGGAGATGAACCCGGTTCACAAGAAAATCCCGGTTTTAATTCATAATGGAAAACCGGTTTGCGAGTCACTTGTAATTTTGGAGTA